AAGACTCGGCCGCTGCAACGCCCCGGATACAAGGGAAGAACTACAGGCCAATTTGTCGCCGCTCGTAAATCCGTTCTGATAATTCTCAGCACGAGACATCCAGCCTTCCGGCTGGGCGTTGCGGGGGTGTTTCGTGTGGTAAACATAATGTCCGCCCTGCGGAATCTTTTGTCCGACTGTCTTTGCTTTTCCTACAGCAAACGCGTGCCGAAGGTGTGCCCTTTCTAAACACTATACCTGGAAAGTCGGCCAAATCGGCTACGACGGTTTTACATTTTAAGCCAGCTATTTGTAATCGCGCCGATCTTTTGACACGTTGATATGAAAGAGAAGCATATTTTATAAAAATAATTGGCAATTGTGCGATGACATCTATACACACCTTTTGGGACATTAGATTGTCGACATTTTTATACATTACTGGTGCAAAAGAAGATAAACGTTGGTTTTTTTTAATGCTATTCAAACGGTACTACATTTAAATAAGTCAATTAAAAATTATCAGTGATTTTAACAGTTTCGCATCGCCTTTTGAAAAAGAAGTTCATTCTTCTGTATTATTTTTATACGTTTTACGTTTATTTCATCTGATATGGACTAGAATTATCATAGTTAGAAATCTTATCTGAAATTTTAATGTATTCTAAAAATGAATTGCACTGCTAAAAACGTAACTGCTGGTATTAATTAACCCTCCGCTGTCACAATTTCTAACTAAAAACGCGTATGCAATACTGGGTCACGTCTAGATCAGTTTTCAAAAAGCTGTCACTCGAAAACCAGCGATATCATCGAAACCCTAAAATTTGAGAATATAATTTGAACATTCTAGAACATCGCTTCCTTTATTAGAACTTGCTATCTCACTTCCAAGTACATTTAATTAATTGTTCATTTCTTTCTTCTCGTAGCAATATCACTTTACTGAGAAAAATATGTGAGACACTTTGACCCAGTTCGACATTAAAGGACTAATGTAATACAAGTTAGCAAACGCTAACAGATTCAGCACTCCTTCCCATTATATCAATGTATTATCCAACGGAATAACTCGGGGGTAGATATATTAGTTCCACAGAATCAGTATCAACAACTCCCTCAAACTTCGGTATCAAGCAAACCGATAACCATTAGTAGAAAAGCTGTTCAGGCGAGTCAAATTCACGGACGATTCCACCGAAGGTATCAGGCCCATCGTCTCGTAGCGCATCTGCTCGGAAAGTAATCGAAGAAACGTTTCGAGACACCGTTTTTCGAGGTCGGACCCCGTTACGGTGTCGAGTCGGGGGGGGGGGGGGGGG